GTTGTGTAGAGAGAAGCACTGGCTTTGGAGTCAGACAGATCTGAGTTTGAATCTGGCATAGCTAGTCTTATACTGTGAATTGTTCAAGTGTCTGACTTAGCCCCTCAGTTTTCCCACCTATAGAATAAGGATGACAATCTCTAGCTTGTAGAGATCTCACAAGTGTTAAATGAAATAATATGTACAAAAACTAACAAAGCACGAAGAAGAGAAGCAATAGGTGTAATTTGCACTTCTAACTTACAAGTTCAGATCTTGGGGTATTACCCCATTTGTCCTATAACCATATTATATATTTTTTTAAAAATTTTAACTCTAACCAAACACCTTTCACTAAATGGTGAGTAAACTTTTTCTCCAAATATTTGCCATTGGAGTAGGTAAAAAGTGCTGACATTTATGTGTGACGTGGGGAATCGGTTTCTTTCCAACTGCTTTGGAAATGCATGTGCTAGGTATCAACTCAGATCATTTTTCAACTGCCTCACGTTTTCTCCCCTGACCATTCTGCTGAGCTAAGCATCCTGAGGAGGATTGGTTTGGGAGCTTGTGGGTACTACAGTCCCATCCACCAAATTAACTGCAGTGACCTACAGGGAAATTCTCTGTGCTTCCTCTGATACTCTGACCGGTAGGAGACAGCTGCTTCTCAACTATTCAGCTAAGCCAAAATGTGGTTTCCTTTTTAGGCTTTTATTTTTATTTACACACACACACACACACACACACACGTATATATGTCTGAGTAATACATTTAGTTGTCTTAACATTTTAAAAATGCAAAAGGGTGTTCAGTGGCAGCCTCCCTGGCTACACAATCTCCCATTCACCCAAATCACTATCCATAAAATTAACAACAGAAAAGGTAGACGGGAGGAGGAGATAACCTCTTATTATCAGTTTCTTAGGAAACCAGCGGCTTTTGAAACTCCTCTTAAAGACCCAGCATCAGCACGCCTTCACGGTAGTTTACACACGTGTTGATTGTGACGGGCTAAAGGAGACTTTGAAAATCAGGAACGCTGAAATGAGCTCATGGGGCTTGTCAGTAATTATAAAGTCAATTGGCAAGACTTAGCCAGAATAAAGTCACAGAGGAGCTGCTTTTTGTCTTTAAAGAGAAGTAGTATATGTTATACAAACACCATCCATCAGCGAAACCTAGGTAGGTTATTGGGAAAAACATAGCAGAAAACCTGATACTTATAGAGAATGTACTACGTGTCTGGTGCAGTGCTAGGCTCTTTTTGAAATTACTGTAGTGAAATATACCTCACATAAATACACCATTTTAACCATCTTTAGAAGCATACAGTTCCAGGGCATTACACACACTTGCATTGCTGTGCAGCCATCATCACCATCCGTCCCCAGAAAGTGCTCAGTTCCTTTGCCCATCTCACTTAGCTCTTTACCACAGTCTTTGAGGTCTGAGGTATGTACTGATGTTCTCCACATGGTGAAGGTGTTGCAGAGAGATTCTTTAACATCTCACACTGATTCACTGGCAGAGCCTGGGATTGAATCCAGGTGTGTTCATCTCCAGCACAGGGAGACAGGTGTGCCTGGCTGTCTGACTGTTTTTGTCCTCCATCCTATGCTGTTGCCCAGGGGTGATCCTGCTGCTTCTGGACAAGCTGCGGAAGATGAAATGGGAACAGATGTGGAGGCTGACCGCAGAGAGGGAACTGATGGGCATGCTCTCCACGTCCTTAGCTGACCAGGTGAGTGGCCAGATTAGAAGATATGGTTATTTTTGAGTACCCTGGTGCCGTTTCTCAAACTCGAAAGTAGATGGGTCTACGCTGTACCCTTGGCTCGGTCTGCCCTGTACTGCCAATCAAAAACATTAGGATTTTTTTCATTCATTTGTTCATTCAGCAGACTTTTACTGCACACTGTGTATGCCAAGGGCTGTATTCAGAAACAGGATTACAGAGATAAATGATGAATGCAGTCCTTGGCCTCAGAGAGCTCACAGTTGATTGAGGCAGACTCATATGTAAACGATAATTTGATGTGTTAAGGGGAGGTCGCCATCTTCATCTCAGGGTGACAGCACACCACCTGGCCCTGAGATTCCAGAATGCCATAGCGTATCTCCCGGACGACGTTTCATTTGCCTTTCTGGCAGTAGTCTAACTTTTAAAGCAAAGCCTTTTGCTGAGAGCCGGTGCTATGACCCTATCCTCAAGGGAAATGCATTTAAATAGAAGAGACGAACGGCCTGGCTGGAGAACCTGGCTTTGAATCCAGGCAATCTGAGAAAGTCCACGAACTCCACCAAACTATTAACATAAAATCATAAAAACCCTGTTTCTCATTTTCACTAGGAAATGCGGGAGCCTGAGCCTTTGATCTTGAATCTACCAGGCTCACACATTTAGACTTTGAGTTTCCTGTGGTGTAAATGGCCATCTTGAGATGTAAAGATGATGTCTCTGGGTTCTCTGCATTTTCTCCTTTCCTATTCATCCAAAAAGCCAGCTCACTCTCTGTGTTTTTGCTCGGTGTTCAAATGTCTGTCGTTGAATTCTTGCAAAGTTTTCTAATACAGAGAAAAAAACAGTCTGTAGGGTTACTTTACAATTTTTTTTTAGCATTGTTATTATGCAGTATTTCTCAAACAGCCAGAAACTAATTTCCTTTTTCAAACACGAGGTATGCTATAATGAATGAGTTAAAAATTATTCAGGTAGCTGTTTTAAACCTGAGGGGAAATTTGTCCTCCATTATCATATTTTAAGTCAGGTCACAATGACTTGTGCGTGTCCCCAAAAGCAATGTCCATGCCCAATGAGGATAGTTTATTCAGCCATCTCCTGTTGTGGAGGCCCATAACTCACCTCCCGGCACCACCTGTCAGCAGCTAGTTAATAAGCATGGCCCGGTGAGAGAGCTTGGAGAAGAACCCAATAGAGGTGAGGCCTCTTTAGAAAAAGCCCGAGTTGGGCTGGGAAATGGGGAGTGCCTAACCCCGGAACCGTGGCCCGCAGGAGGCCAAGCCACATCCATCACTGAGTCGGCCAAAAGCCCCGGGAAGAGCTGCTGAAACAGGATCTATAATTTGTCTCAGCCCCAGGATGAGCCGAGGAACTTGTCATCATCCATCGTGCAGTTTCCTCTCCAGGAGGCTCAGGATGGATAACACGGGGCTCCTTGATGAGGTGGGAAGAGGGGCGGAAAAGTGACTTCATTTATTATATGCCAGCTCAGATGGAAAAGACATTCCCTGTCTGCCCCCGCGAACACCTGCCATATGCTGCGTTATGAGACCAGCCGGACCCACGAGCTTCAAGGCAGTGTGGGGTCGTCCGCCATCTCTACCTAAACATTATTGCTTGGTTCCTAGAGATAACAGACTAGGGGAGTATCCCACGGTGTAAGCCAGCCTGTGTTCTGAGCAGGAGGCTCAGGAGAAGCCCTTGTGCACACAGGTGCTTCTGTGCCTCTGGAGCCAGCATCTGCAGCAGGAGCCACCTGACTGTTTTGACTGTGTCTCTGGCTTTTCAATCCCCCAGGATATTTTCAACGCCGTCATCAAACAGAATCCCTTCCTCGTGTACCAGCTTCCCTGCTTCTGGAACGTGCAGCTGTCGGACCACACCCGCTCTGAGCAGTGCTACAGAGACGTGTCTGATCTAAAGGTACAGTAAAGATACATGCCCAGAGATGGAGCGAGGTGCCCTGCAGTGGCAGAGGGAAGCTGGATCGGGGGGCAGCCTCCAAGAGAAGGGATGGCTCTGAGCTTAGTGTGTAGTGTGGTGAGAGATAAGGGAGCAGAGAGCAGAAAGAATGTGCTCTTCTCCCTTTTTCTTTTTTTCTCCTTTTGTTTGGGCTTTCTGAAAAGCAGAACGCCGCCCAGCATACGAACCAGCTTGTGTGGTTATTCTTGCAACCTGCTGCCAGCTGTTTTGGTTCCTGTCGGCTCCCAAAATGCAGTCATATAATTTCAACAAAATATATATTGAGGGCCTACTCTGTGCCAGGTGCTGTAGATATGGTTATGAATAATATACTTCCTACTTTCAAGTCATTCATGGCTTAGAGAAGAGAAACATGTAAGGAAATAAATGTAAAAAAATATATAACAGGTACTATCATCAGTTTGGGTGCAGGGTGGATGCAAGCATAAATGTTTCATTCTACCTCAGGGAAAAGGGACAGTGACAGAAAAGCCTTCCTCTTTGGTCTCTAGATACCAAACAGTTGTAGGGCCTAGCAATAGAAAGATGAAGAAGACAGGATATATCAGTTATCTATTACTACAGATCATGCTGCATAACAAACTATGCTAATAGTGGCTAAAATCAGCAAGTGTTAATTAGTTGATGAGTCTACAGGTTGCCTGGTTGGTTGTCTGATTTTCACAGGCGTAACTCGGTGTCTGTGGTCAGCTTCAGATCGAATGGCTGGTGGCTGGTGGCAACTTGGCTGTCCTCTAGTGTCTCCCATTTCCCATCAACAGGCCTGTCTAGCTTGTTCTCACGGCAAAGCAGAGGCAGAAGAGCAAGCACTGGTGTACAAAAGGAACTCTTGAATTCTTGTTTCTACTATTCTATTGGCCAAAGTAGCCTTATGGCTGAGCCCAGAGTTAACAGGTGTGTGAGAATTCCGTACCTACGGTAGGAGTGAAGAACTGACCTCAGCTATTAAATGATAGATCAAGGATTTGAACCCCATTTTGTCTAAAACCAAGTGTGTTGGCTTCTCTGGCTGTATCAAAGAGGAAGTAGATATATGCATTCATAGAGAGTTTATTTCATTTAAAATGTATATCCATTGCCCATGTGACACCACAGTAGTGATAATTGCGAGTCTTAAAAAAGGAAAAAGGAGTACAAATTTTGTTTTTCTAGTATGTCAATCTTTCTAATTGGTTTCTGGCCCATGTCCACATGTGCATATTTTATCTTATTTATAGTCGTAATGCACATGGAATTTTGTATTCTTCCATTACGTAGCTATTCCTGTTACGTTAGTCGTTTCCAAATTTTCACAAATACAGACTGTGTTGTAATGGACAGCTTAAAGTTCACACCTTCCCAGAAATCAAATCACAGAGTCAAAAAGAAAAACTATTTGAAACAGAAGTGCTTGCATCATTCATTCTTTCAACCAGCATTTATTGCCATTCCTTTAGGGTGTCATGCACTTGACAGACATAAAGAAAACAGATGAAATACACAGGAATATTTCCAAGAATATTATGAACTAGAAGTTCAAAGAGGAAGAAAATAAAACCAACCCTGTAAAGAACACATTAAAACACAATGAAAATGTTTTGAAAGCAAAGTAGATGTACTAAGAAGAGGCCAGGAAGAATGACACAGTGTGAATCCAGAGAATGAGCAAAAAGCAGCTAGATCTGACATTCGCTAGTAGAGGCATTTGCTGATTCATGGTGGCTGAGAGCCTGGTTCAAAGATAGGTAGGTGAGTGTCTAACTTACTGTTCAAATGAGGGACCGTTATCATGACTAATACTGGGACAATAGGCCTGAATCGCAGTTGGGCAAACCATGTGTACACCATTCTATTGAAAGGTTATGCATGGGAACGTGGACTCCCATGGGAAGAAAGACGATCAGAGGACCTTGCATAAAGTCAGGATCCATGAAAAGTGATATTCTTGGTGGATAAACAGTTTAAAAGCCCATATTGAAGGAGATAATTGTTGCCTGTTTCATCCTTGGTTTTAGGTGGAAAAAGGAAGAAAGTTTTCCCTTGAGAATTCCTAATTTCAAGCCTGTGCTTATATTATTTTGGGGAACTGAAATTATATGCATGGAGAAAAACAGAAAGGAAAAAATGAAAATTTGCCAAGTACCTGGCAGAAACAAACAGATCTGATCTGGAAGAATAACTCTCAAAAACTAGACTTCAGAATTTTTTAGGTTACGTTTCAAAGAAAATGAGTTTTCAATCAGTAATCACCGAACACGCAAGGAAATAGGCCACCATGAGAGAGGGCAGAAATTGCAGACTTTAGAATTAAATCTCCAAAACCACAGGTATTGAACTTATCAGACATAAAACATAAGTATTTTTATTATGTGTAAAATAAAAAAGAATATTGATAGTAGGATGGAGGAACAAGAGATTCTTGGGTGTCTAGGCATTTGAGTCAAATAGTACTTTTGGAAGTGAAAAATATTGAAATTACAAATTAAATGAATGTGTTAAGGAGTAGATTAGACCTAGCTGAAGAGAGAATCAGTGAAATGGAAGAGATATCTGAAGAAGTTATCCAAAACACCGCACACAGAGGGAAAAAAAAGATGGAAAAACTAAGAGAGAAGTTAAAGTATTGGTATATATCTAATTAGACTATCAGAAGGAGGTAATAGAGATAATTGGAAATGAGGCATCATTGGATGAGATAGTGACTAGGAATTTTCCAGACTGTTAAAAGGTATCCACAGATACAACAAGGTTTAATACCAAGCAGTTTAAATAAAGAGAAAGCCATACTTAGACCTACAGTAGTGAAATTGTAGCACTTTAAAGAAAAGTGATCTTTAGCCAGAGAGAAAAGACAGATTCTCAAAGAAATTGCATGTGTGTGATGAGCACTCTTAGCAGCAGCAATGGAAGCCAGAATAGAGTAGAAATAGTGTCTTCAGTGTGCTGAGAGACGATAACAACAAATTGTATACCTAGCTAAACAATCCTCAAGCATAAAAGATGAATATTCAGATGAGCAAAAACAGAGAATTCAGCGCAAACGTACTTGCACAAAGAAACTCCTAAAGTATATTGTTTAGGAATAAGGAATGTTTTAGATTCAAGAAGGAATGTTAAACAAATTAGAAATATATAAGAAATCCAAACAATACTTTCTAAATAAAAGTCATAGCAATAATGTATAATTTGTAAATTTTAAAAGGTTATATACCTAAAATATCAGACAGTGACATCATGTAACTTAGAAGGGAAGTGATTAGTATTAAAGTATTCTGAGATCATTGTTTTGTTGTGGGAGACAAGATATTAACTTTTCCTTCAAAATTAGGTATACATGCTAACATTTCAAGGTTAAGCTCTAAAAGAATTTTTGAAAGAGTATATAACTTAAAAATCCATGGTGGGTGGAATGGCGAATGGAATTAGAAAAACAGAACAACCAAAATAGCTCAATCATTAAAAAAATACAAGAAAAAAAAATAAAAACAGAATAAGTGGGGGAAATAGCTAGAAATCAAGATGTTCAAAATAAATTTAAACATGTCAATAATTAAATAAACTTTGTGAATGAAAAGACAAATTGTCAGATTGAATGGGAAACAATATCCAACATATGCTCTTTCTAAGAAACACACCTAACACATAACAATCTGGAAAGGTTGACAGCAAAATTATGGGAAAAGATTATCACACAAATATCATCCAAAAGAAAACTGAGGTAACTATCTTGATATCAGACAAAGCAATTGGTAGGTATAGAGATGGTCACAACTTAAAAATAAAAAGTTAACCAAGAAGATATAAGAATTCCAAACTCGTACAGTGTTTTATGCTACACACACACACACACACAAACACACACACACACACACAGTTCCAAATTGCACACTGTTTTTCTTCACACACACACACACACACACACACACACACACACACACACACACACAGTTCCATAGAACTTCAGAGAGAAACTGACAAGTCTACTATCAGAGTAGAATAGTTTAGCGAATTCTTTTTATATATTGAAAGATCAAACAAACAAAAAAATTGATAAAACATTATGGACGATTTGAACTACACAGTTAAAAATCTTGATTTGGGCAAATAAAGAACCTTGTTCCTAATGGAGAATATTCATCTTTTTCAAGCTCACATAGGACACTTATTAAAAAATAACTCTGTACTAGGCCATAAAGCAAATTTCAGTACATTTCACAGAATCATATTATACATACATATATGTATGTGTGTGTATGTGTGTATAGTTCTTTGAACACAGTATAATTAGAAGGCAGTAACAAGAGTTTTTTTAAATTCATTTGAATAAAGTTGAGAACACACTTCTAAATTACTCATAGTTCTAAACATATCAAAATTGAAACTGAAAACTACCCAGAACTGAATGAAAATGAAAATGTGTCAAAATTAGTAGAATGAAATAAACACGTAGAGAAATTTATAGCCTTACATGTTTATATTCAACAGAAGAAAGGCTGAAAATTAATGTCACGCTTACAACTTGATATATAAAGAACGTTAGAATACATTCAAAGTAAATAAAAGGCAGGACGTAAGGAAGATAGGAGCTGAAATTGATGAACACATTGTTAACAAATCAAATTTGGTGCTTTAAACGGGACCAATAAAATAGACAAAGCGATGGCAGGACTCATCAAGAAAAAGCGAGAGAACTCACTGATAAATGGAGCGCATAAATATTCTTAAGCCAGACATTCTTCTGAGTTCTAGGTATAAAGCAAAGATGAAAGCAAACAAAAGTCTCTCTGCGGAACTTCCGGTCCAATAGATAAAGCAGAATTGTAGGAGATAAGAGAATACCGTGAACAAAATTAGGTCAATAAATTTGAAAACTTATGTGAAACGAATGAATTCCTAGAAATATATACTTTAAAAACACCGACTTAAGGAAAAAATATAAAGTCTGGATTATCCTCTAGCCA